ACGTGCTAACAACGGCAATAGTCTCATTGTCCTTGCTGAGGGATGAGAAACTGGATCCCTTGAGATTTACCATAGCCTTGTGGATTGCCTTCTTCACCATCTTCCTTGAGGTCAAGTATTTCCTGACCTCAGTTGTGAGTGCTCCAGATTCACCTCCTCGCGTTCTTCGCATGATCGATTGAAGGTCCTGTACGCATTCCTTGGTTTGCAACAGGGCATCCTTGGCACTGCTACAAACATCCAAGAGCCTGAGAGAACCATCTAATGGCTCATTAGTCGATTTCTCATTCTGCTCTTGGGCCAAGGCTTGTTGAGTGAGGGGCAACTGAAGCAACCTATCAACACAATCATGCAAGTCTTGAAGGCCAGTTAGTTGGTGGCTGATTGATGTTGATGATGTGGAGGTGGCCTCAGAAGACCTCAATCTACACAAATGTTCATCAACTTCTTGAACGATTGGGTGTGGCCTTGAAGGGAAGCTGTTAGCTAGAGCGAATGTGGCAAGCCATTTCTTCTTGTTGTGTATTGTGAGAAGATAGAATAGAAGACCTTGAAAGAAGTGGTTAATGTAATATCTTTTCCATGTGTTTGTTTAATATGTAGTGTTGGTTGAGGAGGGGGACATGGTCATCCTCTTCAATCATATCAGTGAGAAGGGTAACATGATTTGAATTGGATCCCAAATCATGAACTCATTAATTTAGCTCATAACTAACATACTGGATAGAGTTCTATAAACTAACATGCTTAACTCTAATGCATAAACTCAATTATATGCTGATCAAGTTCATATTATTTTTCAGGTCCTTGGCATGATTGTTAAGCAAGTAGCAGGCAAGATTTGCAATCTGTATATTTCAATGATCATGTGCAATATTGCGTTTCCATGATGTTGAAAAATGGTTTGTAGCTAGCAGACTTTATGAATTGGACCGCTCCCCAAACATTTTATTTCGAATTAATAAGCAAAGCAAAAGTGGATTGGCTGCCTACTGTGGTTGGAGAGATTGACATAAGTAAATGTATAGGTTTTGAATTAAATCTGTACAGGTAATGGAAAATCGTAGAAAACTAAAAAAGGTGGCGGTCAAGTGAAGAGCGGACCTAGGCCTAGCGTGATCGACAACTGCTCAGATAAGCCACCATGGTTGCTTGTAGGGTAGCCCACAAGCAACCGTGCCGAGAGCGTTGTGCCATAGGTTGTCCACGTCTTACACTAAGTTCCAAATTTCCACCTTTAATGCCCCCATGTTGGGTCACAAGCTCACATTACTAAGCTCGGCGAGCAAAGTTTTAGGAGTTAACAATATTAAGTACATAACACGTATTATATATTTCCAATGTGGGATCTACAGTTTTTTCAAGAGAGAAGAGGAAAAGGAATAAAACTCTATTACAAGCAGTTCGGTAATTTTCTTGTATAGAATTAAAGGCCTTTGGAGAATTTATATTGTGTATGCTTCGTGCAAGTATATATACATCACAACCGTATGGCCGAGTTTAGACATCCTTCTTGGTATAATGTTTACTGCTCAAAGCGTGTAGTCAAATACTCCTTTGAATGCTATTAGACATTAGTTGTTGATTATTCATCTCCCTTGAGATATTTGATTTGCTTGCAAAAATCCCATGTGATCTCAATCATAATTTCAGAAACTCCCTTGAATTTTTTGAGATTATCCCACGTGAGGATGAAACTTTTGCATTAATAGTTTAAATATTCTTGGCCTCTACAAATTTGTTTCGTGTCAAACACTGACTTTCTAAACAAAAATTATTTTTTCCTTTTTTTGTAATTTTTTTAAATCTTGGTCTCTATCTGTTAGGAAGATGTTCTCTGAATTAACTTTAACTGACGCCATGGATAGCATGATAATAATTGGAATATTTACAAAGCAGATTGGGCATGAATTTGACATCAAATAGATGATGTATTCGCATCGCATGCAAGGTATATTTTGTTATGTTCAAAATCGAAATGCTAATATACATATAAAAACGAAAAAAGAGAGGAATTGGGTTGGCATCGTGGGTTGTGGGAGGAGGGAGGTAAAAAGGTGGTGGTAATTGGTCAAGTCAAGAGCGGGTCTCAGTCGGCCCAGAGTGAGATTAGATGCCGTTATGTCTGCCACAGCTGCTCTGATAAGTCAACTGCCTTTCCACAATGTTGCTAACCAGCCAACTGAGATTAGCCGTCAACTTGGGAGCATCTTTGTAGAAGCCTACTATAACCATAGGGGAAACACCGGCACTGGACCTGTTAGTCGCGTCTTAACAAGACCTTCCCACATTCCACCTTTAATGCCCCCACGTTGGGTCACAAGCCCACGTTACTAGGCTCGGCAATCAAATTTTTAGGAGTTAACAATATAAGTAGTTAACAAGGGTTATGTTTTTTCAATGTGGGATTACTGTTTTTTAAAGATAGAAGGAGAAAAGGACTCTATATTAATTACAAAACGAATCTTCCTTCCGCATTGGTTAAAAGGATGATTATACCAAGGGGAACGTGCCAAATTGTATCCTGTTCGTCCTTCCAACAGAAGGAAAGCCCAAGCCTTAAGGTTCATCCAAAGGTCCAAAATTTCTTTTGGTATTATGTTTTCTACTGAAAGTTGTTGATTATTTATGAGTGGTTGTATGTGACTTTTGGACACCAATGACCAGCTGCTTGTCTGTGACTTTGGCCCGGAGATGAAGGAAGGAAGTGATTCAAACACTGGAAGAGTGTCTGCTTCTACTTTCTCTCAACTTGCTAACAATGGCAATGGTCTCATGATCCTAGTTGAGGAAAGAGAAAGTTGATCTGTTTTCTATTGCCTTGAGATTCTTCATAGCCTTGTGGATTTTCTTTTTCACCATGTTCCTCGAGGTCAAGTATTTGTTAACCTCACTTGTGACTCCAGTTTCTCACCTCCCTCCCCGCCTTCTTCGTAGGATTGATTGAAGTTCTTGTGGACATTCCTGGGTTTGCAACAGGGAATAATTGACACTGCAGCAAACATCCACGAGCCTAGGTGAGTTATCTAATAGCTCATTAGTCAATTTCTAATTAATTATGGGGCAACTGAAGCAACGTAATCAATACAATCGTGCAAGTCTTGGAGGCCACTTAGTTTGTGTCTCTGATTGACGAGGAGGATGTGGAGGTGGCCTCAGAAGGATCTCAATCCACACAAATGTTCATCGACTTCTTGAACGTACGGGTGTGGCCTTGAGGGGAAGCTGTTGGAGCGGATGTGGAAAGCCATTTCTTCTTGTTGTGTCTTGGGAGAAGATAGAATATAAGACCTTGAAGAAGTTGTGGCTAATGTTCTTTTCAATATGTGTCTGCTTAATATATTGAATCCTGAGAGAGGTAACATGATTTGAATTTGATATCAGAGGATGTATTTGTATACAAGTAGGATGTTGAAGAGGGAGAGTCTTGTTTTGATCAATTTGCCCAAATAAATAGGCATTCAACTCCTTCCTCCCGATCATGTATTTGTATACATGATTTTATTCATATATCCACGCAGCTATACGAAATCAATATCAATAAAGTATAATCTAATGCAATTAGGAGGGTCGTTCTTTCTTAATTTGTTATTAAATAGTATAGCCGCACAGCTATACTCTTTAAATATATTCAAATATTTTAATAGTATAGCCGCACAGCTATACTTTTTAAATATATACGAATATTTAAAAATATACAGATAAATAATCTTCTATTCATGTTTGTTGGATACGGTACCATTGATTATGGGAGAAACTTGTATTGCTCTTTAACTAAATTGTTTTTTTTATCTTTTTCATGCTGGCTATCTCTACTGAATTTTTCAGGCTCTGTCCATTTTTATTTATTAAAATGGAATGTTGCTTATTTTTAACATTCAAATTTTCATGATTTAGCACATTACTTTTAACTTAACCCCGTTGAAATGACTACTGCATACTGCTCATGATCCCTTTTCCTTGCTTTTATAGGTTTCTGATGCACATTGCTCGTGCATATAGGTTGTTCCCCTTATGTGGTTTGATTATTAAAGGAAGATTCACTATTATACCCAATATAAGGGTTCAAATTCTAAAAAAACCTACATACAATAGACTTTACAAAAACACCCAGAGCCCATTTACAACATGACAAAGAGTATAGCTATATATCACTAGTGCTAAGAATGGGTGTGTAACTAAATAGCTCTTATCAAATTACGCATAAGAAAAAAATTGAGACTGGTTGTGCTTCATGGCGAATTTTTTTTAACAGAAACATCGGAAATTAAATTCAATGATGAATGAAAATATACCCCTACAAATCATATTCGTTAAGAATCACATCTCTCATATGCGAAAGTCGCTATCGCTACTGTCCAAATCAACGGTGTATCACCATTTTTGTTTTTGTTCAGAAAGAGCTAGAGAGAGGGGATGAGGCAAAGAAGATGGATGGGGAGGAGGAAGGAAGAAGAAGTTTACCATGACAACTTTAGGTCAAGAAGATGGATGGGCAGATATAAAACTTTTGGAAGGGCAAACCCTTTACTTGAGAGAGATCAGAAATGCCAATACTTGTAATTTATTCGTGATACAATGATTGAAGAGAATGCTTCTGTTGGCCAGCCAAATTTATACCAGCACAATTGCCGAAAGATAGCTTTCTTTGTTTCGATAAATCCATTTTGGTTGGTGTATGGAATTAATTTTTGGGGGAATTATCTGAAACAACCAACTTCTACAAGTCGAAATCCTTGATTATTCAACAATTTATTTGACCTTATAAATATACATAATCAGCCCTTTATTCGGCGATTTGTATACAAATATACAAGTTCAATTCTTTATTCGAGCCATGATGCGTAAGTCTTTTCACATGCAAGAAGAGTTATTTTGTAGAGTTTTACAAACTAGGGGGAAAAAAATGTTCATGACTCGCCATTTCAGACATTTCCCCAATGATCTTGATTTAGAAAGTGTGTTTACAATTGGTTTCCAAACGGTGTAATTCATGAGTCTGTTGAATCAGGTTGCCGAGTATTATCACTAGTATGGAGTAAAGCAAGCTTAGTGTTCAACAGCAAATGGCAATCATTCCTTTTTCTTTTTCTTTTCTTTTTTCCCAAGTGGAGTGTTATTCGGGCAAACTGCTCCTTTTAATACCGAACACTTAAACACTGAGAGGGGGGTTAAGGGGGACAAAGAACAAAGGACAAAGAAAAAGATCTGTACAATGAGATTGGCAGCCAAAAATTTCATATACCCCTCCCCCCCTCCCTCCCTAACCTGCAGGATCAGTACAAAGATTGCACCGATTTGAACCGAGTAGACAGACCTCAAGCTGGTAAAAAAAAATCTCGCTAGTAGAAGAATCAGGGGCGTTGCTGGTGTCGTTGGAGCAATGATTTTCTTCCCCACTCTTACTGCTCATGGCTCTCATGTTAGAATTTCTCTATCGTATCTGCGTAAAAAAGACGGAAAAAAAAGCCACCACTATCGACAAAGTAGAACCGGACTGACTGATTCCACCAAAAACATTGTCGAGTCTAATAGTAGTTCTCTTTAGGCTGCCTGCACAGCAGCAAGCTGAGGGATTTGGCATTTCCATTCTGTCATCTCATGTTTAATTTTGATGTTCTACCCTTCGCTATCAGAGTCCTCGGAAGAACCTTTGATCGCTTCTGCAGTCATGAGAGAAACCACGGCCTTGTGAATTGCTAGATCTGCTCTGTAAAACAATTTCTGAGCTTTCTCTCTCTTGAGCCTAGCAATGTTATGCGCATGCTGAGCGGCACCAGATGCATCACGCAGTCTGAACTCATCGAGATCAGGACCATCCAACAGTCCCATGTCATGCCTCTGAGGCCCATCTGTTTGATAATACCGTTGGCTTGACCAATCAGGGAAACCCATATTCCATCGCTGAACTCCATTTCTGTTTCCTACCACTCTATGACTGTAAGGAGACATCATCTGGGGTTCAACAGGAGATACCGTCCTTCCAAATTTCTTTGACTTGCTTCTGTGAATTCTATGTAGATGATTCCTCTCAAACCCATCATTGCTAATCAAGATGTTAGTTGCATCCCTTGGTGAAAATACCCTAGGTGATGTCTGAGACAATGGGGAATCATCTAAAGAGTCATAGTTGTGGCCTGTATATACAACTTTTTCATCACCAAAAGCAAACCCATTTGATCTTCTTCCTGAGGGAATAAACAAAACCCAATAAAAAAGATGCTTGCAAAAGAAATTAGTCAAAATTTGTATTTAGGGAAAAGATTTTGATTGGAATACCAAGGGTAAAGAAAATTACCAATAGCATGGAAACCATCCTGATCTCCTAACATGCCACTGCTATGTCCAGAAACTGAAAATCTCTTCTGTGACCGTTGTTTTGATCCCTTGTTGGGAACTTCCAGGCCCCGTGGTTTCAGACAAAAAGCAAACATTGGTGGCTTCTCAACTGATGCACCTTTCTCGTGGCATCCATTGGGGAGGATGGTATTGGTTTTTATCATAGCTTGCTCCCATTCTCTCACTTGTTGTTGATACCTTTCCCATGCAGATGGCTGTAAATAAAAAATAAAAAATTTGTAATGCATTCAAATGAACAAACAAAAAGACAGATGGCTTTTCCACAATGAAAATAAAAATTCAAGGGTGGCCAGGAATTAACAGATATAACTAGAAGCATCCCACCCCATGAATTACAAGCTACATAATAAAATATCACCCTGTCAAGGTCGTAAATTTGGGTTCAAAAATTACACGGTTACTGCCACAGGGAAAACTGAGTATTCTCAATAAAGAAAATGACTTGAAGCTTTTAAGCAAGAATATGATCTGATGAATGTCAACTTCTCCCTAAACAGGTTCATCTTATTATAATAATGGTGGATACTGTTTACAGACAGTTTGGCACAGGAACCAAGCAGGAGTTAAATTGGCTGTGAGAGGTACATTCCCAACCATAAAAGAAAACTCGTAACTAATGCAGAGATGAAATGTAGATGAGTGTCCCGTTATTCTAAACTACCTAAAAGGTATAGCTATCACATAAAATAAATAACATTCAGAAAGTACCTGGAGATGTCGGATTAAAGGCATTCCCTTCGTTAGCCTTTTCCCTCGCCAATGCTCGTAAATGGTTTTAATCGCATCCATGGGACCAACTACAGCCATGAACTCTTCTATTTCTTCATATGTGAACTGATCACACTGTTGAGCATACGCAGCCTTCTCAAACATGTCCATTGTCTTCTCGAACATCTCCTCGTCGATCTCTATAGAGCTACTGTTGTCAACTTCTGAAGAATTTTGAAACTTCATGATCCACTGCTCATCATCACTATCCATGTCATACAAGACCCGAGATGGATCCAAAGCCATCTCAACATCTGTTTCTGTCTGCCGGAAATACTTCATAGAACTGCGAAGAAACGATATTTCTGCTCCATGATCATCACTTTCTTCAATTAAGCGGACACCAGGAATAGGAATGTTTTTTACCAAAGCAGAACGAATATTCCGATTGTAACACTCTTCATGCATCTCCCTGAAAAGTGCCCACTGGCTCCTATCTGGAAACTCCAAGATCCAATCCTTTCCTCCCTTCCACATCATAGCATGAGTATAGCGGTTTGTCGACCCAGGCTGCAAAAATTGATGTGCCTTGTATGAATACTTTGTAGTCCCTGATATTTTCACAGCAAGCTTCCACTCATTATGATCAAAAAGCTCTAATACTATATGTGCCCCACATTCCCTCCACCCTCTGTCACTGCCATTGATTAACACATTTGCTTCACATGATAACTGCTCCAAGTTTCTTTGGGAACCTCTAGAAACGTCTGATAACCTCTTCTCATTAGCCCTCCTAATTCGTTTAGGAGGAATCCCTTTCTGAAGGTTTCTTTGCTTCGAGCTAAAATCAAAACCTCCGTAAGGCAATGTGTATGAGACCTGAGTTCGGGGCTTCTTTGGTCCATTGCCAAAACCATTATGGAAAAGGTCAGCCTTTCCATCAGACCAACCATGTGAGAGGTAACCAAATGATGATGAACTATTTCTACTTCGGTGCCATGTACTTCTAGGAGCCGTGGGATTAGGGCTAGGGATAATGCTACCACTCATAGTCCAAGAACAATCTGTAGGCTGTTGAGCACTTTGCACCTCCCCATCCACAGGCTTCTCAAATCGGTCAAATGATGGGATCTCAACAGTGAGACCATTCAAAAAAGACTGGGAATCAGTGTCAGACTTCTCTTTGCCAACCAAATGCTTTGGTGATAAAGAACATTGATCTGACTCTGGATGGTGGACAACTGCATCAGTTCCAGTCTTTTCAGGGACCTCAGTACCAGTGGAGGATCCAGCAACACTAAGAACACCATTTTGGTAATGCTGAGAAGACTTTGTCCAACCTCCATTGCATACAGCAAGAGCAGTTTCTGTTTCTGGTTTGGAAAAGGAGTGATCAGAAGTAGCATTACCTGGTGGAGCCTTTAAATTGTTCTCCTGAGTAATTTTTGAACCTCTGTTACAAAAGTCCTCCACACTAGAAGAGTCAACTGCCAACATACTGCCAGAGTTTCCTAGAAGCTCCACTGAATCAGGGTCCCGAAAGCATATATTAGCAACACAATGTTCCATAAGCAGCTTAAGATGCAAACTAAGGAAGAAAGTAGGTGCAGCAGTAAAAGATAGGGCGAGTGGAGGAAGTTTTCTGGGAAGCTGATCAGAATGAGAAGTAGAATGACTGATATTTACAAAAGTAGATTCCCTGGAACTACCCATGAAGTTAATGCCCTGCCTGGACCTCCTCCGTGTACCCTGGTTGGTGGAAAAATTACAGAAGTGAATGCCTTCATAATACAAATACATTGATGAACAATATAATTATCTACACAAGGTGGAAGACTAGAAAAAAAATTCAGTTAAACCAAAAATTGTTTTCGGAATATGTAGAGAACATAAGACAAATACCTTGACAGAGGAGGGATGCCCGCAAAGAGACATAAAAGGTGACTGATTTGTTCCATTTTGAAGTGCTTGAATACTATCATAGGTGCATTCAGACAGAGGCAGTTTCTTGGTGAGCAAACAATGGCTCCTAACTTTTGAGTCTAGGTACTTCCACTTTGACTTTTTCACTTGAGAGAAGTTGTAGACTGCAAACACAAGTTGCTTCCGAAGAAGCTGAACACAAGAGAATTTGAACCTGATTGAAGTTACTGGTAACTGGAAATCCAGAAACATCCCCTGTTCAATAGGGTGATGAAATAATGCCAGGACGAGAAAAACAAAGGCCACAGCCTGCTCCAAGCAACCTTCAAACAAGAGAAACCTCAGCCCAACTACATTATCAACAAAAAGCATCTCCAAATAAACCTTTGGCCATGTGATCACCACTGTACCATACCGATGCAGCATTGCAGCATGAAACAACGAAAATTCTACTCCAAAAGAATCATTAATAATTGAATGCATCGGAACGCCTAACTCAAAAGTAACTTTCCCTGCTTCTGTCCGAGGAAGAGTCAACTTTAGCAACCCTGCATCATCAATATACCACAATGGCCCATTGGCATCCAACCTTCTCACAAAATCATATGGCTCTTCCAAATCCCCAATCTCCTTAACAGGAACAAAAGAAGTAATAGAACCAAGTTCACTCACATAGGCATCATTGCCCTTGGATGTGTGAGACAATACAGACCCAGTTTTGCGCCGCCTCCGAAAATAAACAATAGGCATTTTGCTATCTCTGGGGCAAATGCTGCCTTGTGAGGTAGGCTTTTCTAGCCTCAAAACATCAGATGATCTGCCAGAATTATGAGAAATTCTAATTTTATCCCTTCTAAATGAACCATCACCCAGAGATCCATGTAACAGGACATCTTCATCAGACAATGGTGACTTTAAAGATAGACCTGATGTTTTTTGCTTCTTTACAGCACAGGAAGGAGACTTGACCCGACGATTAGATCGCGCCAACCATGAAATAATGGGTTCAGTGTCCATATAGCTGCCTATGCAGCTATCATCCTCCGAAGTCAGCTCTCTCTTTTTCTTTTCTTTTCTGGGTTTCAAGTTTCCTTTTCTCTCATCAGAACTTCTATTCCGCTGCGTTGATTTTTTCCGTTCTATCTTACCAGGAACTTCACTAGGAAGTAGCAAGAGCTTGAACCTCTCATTTTGAAGGTCAATCCATTCTTCATCACGGTCATCGTATTTAACATGATGAAGTTTTTTTTCCTTGTCATAGTCATTCACAAGGCCATAGTACCAACTTTGGTCCAAGGGCCAGAAGACTTTGATTCTCCGGTTCAATACCCAGTAAGCATCCAAGTTCCCCAAAAAAACTTCATAGAAATGGCGCCTTTTCCGCGAATGTCCCTTTTCTTTGTGCTGTTTCCTCGGCCTCAATACTCTACCAGAATTATCAACCGAAGGGGATTCTGACTCAGAAATAGACTTTGACCTACGACTATCAAAATCCTGACCAGAAGATAGCAGAAAAGACAATCCGTTCGCAGATTCCAATGCAGAAGCCTTGTTGTTTGAAGAAAACCCAGTACAGCTTGGATCAAACCTTGATGAAAGCATCCTTGCTGCATTCTCTTCAAGATTCTCCTCATCGTCCTCTTGTAAATCATGGCAACTTTTTGTAGAACTATCAACCAATGGATCAGCTTCCTTTGCAGCACTTTTACTACCACGTGCTAAATCCTTCCTCTTCCTGCGACTCCTCCGATTCTCCTCATTGTCTTCTTGTGAATCATGGCATGTTTTTGTAGAACTATCAACCAAAGGCTCAGCTTCCTTTGCAGCAATTTTACTATCACGTGCCAAATCCTTCCTTTTCCTACGATTCCTCCGATTCTCCTCATTGTCTTCTTGTGAATCATGGCATGTTTTTGTAGAACTATGGACCAAAGGCTCAGCTTCCTTTGCAGCAATTTTACTATCACGTGCCAAATCCTTCCTTTTCCTATGATTCCTCCGATTCTCCTCATTGTCTTCTTGTGAATCATAGCATGTTTTTGTAGAACTATGGACCAAAGGCTCAGCTTCCTTTGCAGCAATTTTACTATCATGTGCCAAATCCTTCCTATTCCTACGATTCCTCCGTGACTTTTTCAAAGATGAATCCCCATTGCTTACAACCGAGTGACTTGTATGAACAACTTCCTTATCAGCATGTGGTGCTGAATTCAACTCACTTTCTATGTTTTCCTTAAAATCATCAAGACCCTTCTCTCTTTTAACATTCAACGACTCATCTTGAGTCCCTAAATCATCAACATTTAACTTAGCTATCTGATGATTCTGATCAACAAGACCTACTTTACCAGCAGACTGATCTGGCAGCTTCAGTAACTGACCACCTTCAAATTTCTTTCGGCCCACAAAACCCCGCTTACGCCTAGGGATTTGAATAACATTATTACCCAAACTAAGTGATGAAACGCCATTAAACCCACTACTGCTATCCAATATCTGGCTCGACCCACATTTCACCGCCTCCTGATCATGTAAACCAGAATTCAACTCACTATGATACACTTTATCTAAACTCTTCTTGCTACTAGTATTAACATTCTTCAAACTACTGAGAGACACCTCTTTCCTACTCTTCTTTTTCTTGTCCCTGTTCTCATCACCATCCTCTGCACTACCTTTTCTCTTCAAGCTCTTGGTTGGGACCTCTTTTGTAGTCCTGGATTTGTACAAACTCTTAAGAT